TCATATCTATAAATACATGAATGTTTCAAAAGCTCTTTAAATATCACTTGTGACTATGTGTTATCTATTGCCAATTACTGACTTAGTTTGATTTTGGGTGCTTTTGAAAATTGTATGCCAAGAAGGAATGAGTTGTTGAGTTTTTTTCAATTACTACTGCTTTCCAATGGTTCCAGAGAAACTACTATATCAGATATGCTCTTCTAGGCACAATGTAGACTTACCGTATTTTTTGCTCAATAAGACACACTTTTTTGTTTCTCAAATGTGGGTGGAAATGTTTGTGCGTCTTATGGAGCGAATACTGTTGAAGCCTCACCCACCTGTCGGTCCCCACCCTTTGGTCATTTTTGGCCTCCGCGGGCCCCGTTTTTGGCTCTGCGGGTCCCATTTTTGGTCACCGTGCACCCCGTTTTCAGCCTCTGCACAGGATGCCTGCCGCTGCCTATCGCTGTCATTCACTGCCACCGCCTATCGGCGGTTGGATCAGCCTCCTGGAATACCACCAATCAACTGTTCCAGGCAGTGGGGATCGCTGCTGCCCATCACCGCCACCTGTTGCCACCACCGCCAGTGAACGGCGATGGCAACAGGCAGCAGTGACAGGCGGCGGCAATCCCCACCACCTGGAACAGCTGATTGGTGGTATTCCGGGAGGCCGATCCAACCTCCGATAGGCCATTGTAGTGAATGGTGGCAGCGGTGAGCAGCAGCGATAGGCAGCAGTGAGCAGTGGCAGTGATGGCAAGCGGCAGCGATAGTTGTGGAATGCTGGTGAAGGCTCCAGCATTCCCTGGCGGAGGCAGCAGACACAGAGGAGGCAGCAATAGTGCTGTTTCTGGTCGGCCAACCTGCTGATTTATGGGGCTACAGGAGGCCAGGATCCAGCTGTCGCTCAGCTGACTGGTAGTGGACACAATGGAGTGGAGCCCTGATGAGCCACGTGCTGCGGTTGGGAGGCAGAGACAGCTTTTTTGTTTTCTTGTTTTCCTCCCCAAAAGCTAGGTGCGTCTTATGTTCTGGAGTGTCTTATGGAGTAAAAAATACGGTATATCTTTTTAAAAATGTTGGTGCAGAATTTGACAGATAAAAGTTCTCTTATCCTGATCTCTCACACACATATTTAGTCACCTTCTTTTTTTAACTTACACCTCTATACAGAATTTTAAATCCTGTCCTGTTTGCTTCCTGTGTTCCCAACATATTCTTGTGAAGTAGTATCTGCAAATGTAATTAAAATTCTGTTTACTCTGTTCTCTTAATATACAACTGCAGATTAGCAATCATGCAGTGAAGATCACCCAAATTTAATAATTTTCACATCTTTTTCATATTGCCATTTCATTATGGAATAGTTGTGGTTTGTATGCAAATATATAGACTTCGCATTGTTTCACTGTGCATTTAAAACATAGAAAGGGAACACACCCAGAATTTAAAAGCATCTGACTGATTTCATGTCTGTGCAAGCTCCATTTTATTTCTGGGAAATTCATCAATAAGAGTATCATGAGCTGAATCAAAAGATCATTTTTTCCCTAGTAATAATACATTTATTCTTGTTCCCTACAGAGCTCAGAGTGTTATTCTGACACTAATTTACAATTTTGGAAGACCAGAGTTGTTTAGAATTAATGAAAGGAGGTTGATAATCTCTTCCTGCATCTGATCCAAATGTACACAGATAATTTGTACCTTGTATGAATTCCAGAAAGGAATCCCGTGTACAATAGCAACTATGACTCACCCTAACTTTAAAGTTTAGCAAGGAACTATTCCCCTTTTAAAGACTTTTGGGGAAGTAATGAAAAGCCTCAATAAAATGCCTGCTTTCAACCTCATTCTAGTCCATTCTGAGCAAACAGAACTAAAGCCAGCTTTCCAGCAAACACAAAAAGACTGTTTTGGAGCAAAAAGTAAGCATAGCTCATAGTTTAGCATAAACATTCTGAACAGTGTAGTCTTTCATGTAACAATTCAAATATTTCATTATTAGCATTGTCCATCAATTGGATGAAAGAATTCTTTTTTTGACATGGGTTTTATCATAAGTTGTTTATTCAATTTAGAAAAAGCATGAATACATACTTTATTTTATTCATTTCATTTCCATGCAGCCCATTCCCAAAGGCTAAGATACTTTAACGTAAGAAAGGTCATGGAAGGAAAATGGTTCTATCTCTTCAGCTTTGGATCTTTGGATCCAATGGAAAAACTTCTCATAAATGCCTTAAGAGCCTTTTGAACAAAACCACAGAGAAATGTGTGTAATATTTGCAAAACTGCATGCAATTATTTTATTTTTAAGAATTGAACTGGATCTGTACTAAGTGCTCTACAATATTAATCACAAATGTTTGCACCTGTTTACATAATCCCAGTCCTGTGATTATTGGGAGAAACACAATACAGTGAGGAAAAAAGGGCAAATATGAACTCAATAGGAAATAATTGATCATAACCTGAGGAATCATCTTTTTCTAAGAGTCTCTACCCACCCAATTTGATCCAGCAGATTGGGCATGCTGCACATCGCGACAGCTAAAGACTGTCAACTGGCAGGAACTAGAAGAGCTTTCTCTGCTATAGCTTTGCAGAATACGGTATTCTCCCCTCAGATTAGAATGGCTCCAATCATGTTGGCTTTTCGCAAGGTTTCAGAATTTGGTTATGTACTCAAGCCTGAGGCTTGGAATATGTTAAGGGCCATTTCTTGACTTAAGTGATAGTTGGCTAACTATCTCAGCTACCGTATGTATTTATTTTTGGATGTTTTATTTTTTTGGAATAACCGTTTTATAGTTTTATAATTGTTAACCGCCAGAGCGCTTTGCTGAGATAGATGGCTATAAACATTGACTAAACGAATAAATGAATTTATTTCAGCATGCAGAGTTAAATTTTGCCTGGCTTTAAATTTGAAAAAAGGCTCAATTGTTGTTTTCAACAAGCAGATGCTATTTTGAAACTCTGTAAAGCTCATCATGTTTAAAAATAGGATAGTGGTCAAAGTATTCTAGTTTCTAAACTATCCACAAAATGAAACTCCATTCAATGCAGTTTACTACCTGAGACAAAGCAGTTAATAAATAATGGATAATTTTTTATTCCATATTTACTATGTTAGCTCAAAGCAGGATACAGGGGATCTTTCCAAATGTTACTTATTCAGCCAAAGATATGTGTCAGGCTGGCAGTTACAATTACAAGCTTTTGTATTTGCATATGATATTGCACAAGGGGCTGGACTTGGATCCATGTTGGTGGTCACGGCTGCCATCTTGATTTTATTTTTAAACCTCCCCATAGATGTCTCTGTCTACAACAATTCTATGGGTAAGTTTGGACTAAGGGAGAATAATTGATCCAATGAGTTCTGTGATTAAAAAGTATCTTTAATCCAAATCCCATCCCTTAAGAACTATACTGCTCAAAAAAATAAAGGGAACACAAGCAGAAGACATCCGAGATCTGAATGAATGAAATAGCCTTATTAAATACTTTGTTCTTTACATACAGTAGTTTATACACTGCTCAAACAACTAAAGGGAACACAAAACTACTGTATGTAATGAACAAAGTATTTAATATGGCTATTTCATTCATTCAGATCTCGGATGTCTTCTGCTTGTGTTCTCTTTATTTTTTTGATCAGTGTATATACACCACACAGACCTTCAAACAGTGCCTCAATTCCAAGTTAAGTTCCTTAGTAGGCATTGTCAGACTTTAAACCTGAACAGTCATGGGTTTAATAGAACATTTATTGCAGGTCAGTGACCATGACAAACATAGCCAAACAACTATCCTCAGACAGCTCCCCAAAGCAAGAGATTTGTGATGGGTCCTACAGATTAATATTTGTTGTGACTGTACAATTTCTCCATCTCTGCTATCCAAAGTATCATTTACTTTGCTTAATGATAAGGCTGAATCAGGATTGAAATGATGCTTAACAGTCCTCTGCAAACATTTCTCCAGTTTTATCTTTACTAGCTATCATTTGTCTTTCAGATCAAAACATACAACTAAGTATAAGATAAATAACAGCTTTATGGGAAAGGGAGAGGGAGGTAGGGGTTAATCAAGAAAACTACATACGAACAAGGGTTAGAATATCAAATTATTTTTTAAAAAGCCTATTCAGGATGATTCAGACTCTGTTTTTATCAGTACTTTGCAGCTGCTATTAAAGCATAGCAACTGTGGAAGATCTGTTTCACAATCTCTTTAGTCAGAGAAGAAAACACTTTAGTCAGAGAAGAAATACATAGTTACCAAAGAAACAATCTTCTTACAGCTGGGAATAATTAACGTATCTGTTAAAATATTGTTTCCTTGCCAAAAAAGGAGCAATTTCAGTATGTATGGGTAGTGTGTGTATGCATGTGGGGAACAGGCTCGTGAATTTTGTGTTTGGGAACTGATGATAAATTGTGAGGGTTTGTTATTGTCTCTAGTCTATATTGTCTCCTGTTGCTGTCGTGCTGACACTGGGTTTAAAGGGGAGTGGGGATGAAAATAGCACAGGTGCCAGCAATTGTCTGGGCAGCCTGCTCTCTCACATACTATAAGTATCAAGAGTATCATTGGAATTAGTTCCAAGATGCAGCTGGCAACTACTTGGCTAGCAACCGAGTTATTATTTGTTGAGCAGTTCTATAGGTGATTGGGTCTCTTTTGATTGGATGGGAACGTTATTGTTTGCATCAAGAAAACAATATACGGTATAGGAAAATAGGCAGCTTCTTAAATTCTCCCAACTCTTTAATTAACAGTGGTCATATGAAGTATTTATATTTTCTTCTTGTAACAAAGATATATGTTGTGCATGCATGTAAGTTGAATACTGTGTGTACATGTGCAATACAATGCAAAGTAGTACTTTGCACAGGCTGGGCAAGATATGCTCTTTTTACTGCTATTTTTTTAAGCGAGTCACCATGGTTGTTAATTGAATCTGAGTTTCCTTATGACTTTGCTTGGCAGAACCTCCCTGGGAAATTGGTGATCACATGACCCTGGAATCCTGCAACCATTGTAAAACCATGTTGGTTGCCAAGTGCCTGAATTTGAACACATAACACACTGCAACAGTTGTAAGTACAAGAATTAGTTGTAAATCACTTTTTTCAGCACTGTCATAATTTTGAAAGCTTGTTAAACAATTGGTTGTAAATTGAGGATTAGCTGTACTACACCATCAGGACACAGGCTCCACTCTTTTCATATATGCATGTTCATCTGCTGTAATGTTGAATGTATTGTATGGCTATTCTGGACTCCCTGCATCATGCTGCTTTGAATTGCCTCTTGTTTCTAAGTGATACTTTGAAAACAAGGTCTCATAATAACTAGAGAGGGTTTTAAATTAATGTAAGCAAATGCCTTGAGAACTTTTGAATTTTGACTCCGGTTAGTAGGCCAGTGATAAGAGATTATGTGAGTTCTAGACTAAAACACACTAAGAACACCCATTTGTCGGTTCTCCCCCACCATTTTAAACAAATACACACCAATGCATGGGCATAAATTCTGATATAAATCTGTTCCCAAATGCAATAAAACAGGAAAATAAACTGCACTGCACAAAACCTGTACCTTATTCATACCTAGGACTAATGTATCTGGGCTGTACAAACCCAAACTGCAATAGATGACAGCAAGGAGTTAAGAGTTTAGGGTATTACTTTTTAATGGTTATTGGGCACATAACCGGAACATTTGCAAATGACTTTTTTCTCCTGTGACTTCCACAGCATAGTTTTACTAGGTAGCAGCAATGCACTGTTACTGCTTGTTCAGCATGGGCTTGATCATAATAGGTTGATAAGCTGACAGTGCATCTTCTATTCTATTTCATTTGGCCATGTGATTCCCTCTGGGTAACTTTGGGCCAGTCACTCAGTCTCAGTCCTTGATGAGAAGGCTGAAAAATATTTATTTACTAACCCACAATATTGATTATGCCCCCTAACTTTAACTAAAGAGACCTTCAACTTGCAGTGGTTTAATCAGGATCATCATCATGTATACGTTTATAGTGCTACTCTTTTCTTTTTCAGAATTATTGAGACTCAGGCAGTATACAATTATTTAATTAATTAAATAAATTATCTATTGTTGCAAATGGAGTTCAGTACAAAAGAGAGTAACCACAGAAGAGATAGGTTTCAAAGTTATTTCCTGAATGCTGATTGCATTGATTGTGAAAATAGTCTGATGTGGAATCACTTACATAGAGAGATGGTTAATTCTGGATACTGTATGTTTAAGCAAATGCCGGATGGCTATCAGTTTGGGATGCATTGATGCAACCCAATGGGAAAATCCTCCATGGGTTGCTAGCAGTTCTCTGCTCACACATGCATGGTGCACGCCAAACGTGTGCTGCATGCACATGCGCACTGCACACCAAATATGTGCTTCACACAGAAAAAGGAGCCTTTTGAAGGTAAGTAGAACAGCGAGGGGGGGGGGGGACAGCTGTGCTGCGCAATTTAGATTCGCTAGAAAGCAGGATTTCTGGAATAGCGCTTCTGTCAGGGTTCCAAGTAATAAATCCATTGGTTTTCACCTAATTAAAAGTAAAAGTTTTCTCCCCAGTCCCAAACAATCAGTCACATGGCCCAATCAATGCAGCGTCTGCTGGTCTGGTGACATCACATTTCTCCTTCTCCTGGCCAGGTGTGAGAGCGTCCTTAGTTCCCAGGAGAAAGTATTTTATTTTGACTACACATCCCCAGCTATCTCTAATCCCCCCTCCCTATCCCTCGCTCCAGTGTGGGAACACTGAAGCTCCAAGATGGCTTCAGCCAGGTCAGCTTCAGAGTTGACAGCTCCATTGAAAGCTACAAAGATCTGGTTCTGTCCCAGCATTGGGCTAGGAGAGGTTTAACCATGGAGGCCATTTGGCCTGGTGAGAAGAGTATTGTTTTTACCTCTATTTTAGATAGCTGTGAGCTACTTAGGAAGATCAGATAGGCGGCCATATAGATAATATAAATAAATAAACTTTGCTATCTACCATTTATTATATGTTAGCTGGTTTGGCTATATGCAGATATATATTTATTATATGCATTATATATTCCTTAATCCAGGGGTGCTTCAGACAGTTATTTAAGCCTTGGTCAGCTCACAATTGGATTATTGCAATGTGCTCTACATGGGGCTGCCCTTGACCACTACTTAGAAGCTACAGTTGGTTCAAAATGTACTGGTGTGAACAGTAACGGGTACCTCTTGGTATGCCCATGTGTCATCACTACTACATGAGTTACATTAGTTCCCAGTCAGCTTCTGAGTGCAATTCAACTAGCTGATTCTTGCCTCTAAAGCCCTGTATTGTTCAGGGCCTGGACATCTGAGAGATTGCTTGTCTCCAGCTGTTTCTGCTCACCCAGTATGTTCCAGCAGAATGGATGTACTGCAGGTCCCCTCCATTAAAGATTGACATTTTGTGGGACCTAAGAAGCATGCCTTTTCTATGCACTCCCCAGCTTCAGAAATAGCATCCACACAGAGATAAGGGTGTCTCCCTCTCCCCTAGGATTCCAATAAACTTGAAAACCTGGCTTTCATCCCAAATCTGGGGTTGAAGCTTATTATTTGTCTAAAGCACCTGTTTTATTTTGTAGATTCTGTTTATTGATTCATTTTAGTCTAACTTATCTGATTTAATGTTTTAACTGTTTTCATGTTTTTTCTGGTTTAGTACACTTCTCAGAGTTCGCTGAGTTGGCAGCCAATAAATTTAAATAAATAAAATGTATATATATCAGCATTTATTTATTAATGGTGTTTAGATGATATTGCAAGGTAACAATACATAAAAATGATTTTAAATCTGTTACCATCTACAAGCAAATAAGGGGTTCAACTTAAGTTGTATTTTGTCCAGAAATGTCCAGCACAGAGGAAGTAAAAACAAATGTCTCAGATTATATATACAGAGGTAATGTCAGACCTGCTCCAGTCTGGTCCCTAAGGGAAGAAAAACTCTCAACTTCGTTTAATTGAATTGAAAGATGCTTTTATTAAGAGATGTTGGCTGCAGTAAAGTCAGGCAGAATCTAAAAGTTCCCATGCAACAATACAATTCCTTTGGTTCCCCATCCCTCCCTTCCCCCACCCCACCTCCCATGACCGGCCCTTGGTTAAAGCTGTCTTTAACCAATCCAACATCACTGAGATGTTTTGGGAAACATTGAGATGTTTAGGCTGGTGAACACTCAGGGAAGTTGAAATGCCTGGCATAAACCGGATTCCAATATGCTCTGCTCATCTTCAACTGTCATTCCCCACTCCTGAATTCCCACCATAGAACTATACAACTTTATTGTCCATTTGTTTTTCCCTCTCTTCCTCAATGCTTTATGACACGATGCCAGCAAGGTGCTAAGCCAAGGATGGTGGATCTGACATGTTGCCCTCTTTGATAGGGATGTTATCTTGCAAAACAGGATAAAGAGACAGAAAACAATACAGAATCATGGTTAGATATAGAAGCTATTTTGGTTTATCAGGATATTGGTTATGAAAGTGTTTAATGAACCTCATCACTTTATGTGCTTAAGGTTTACCCATTCAGTTTCAAAGGGAGGAAAGTCTTTCCATGCAACTAAATACTAGAGTTTTCTTCAGTGTTTACAAGAATCTAGAATGTCTTTAATTAAGTGTTGCTCCCTCTCAATCCTGAGCGACTCTGGTAGTGGTGACAGTATCGGGTGTAGTGGGGACAGATTTTTGGGTTTCAAGAGGCTCAATGGGAACTATCACTGGGGTGACCAGGCCACTTACCACGGGGTCATTGTCAGAATCAGTGTTGCTCTTCCCTGGGCCCTCTGTTGGTCTGGTTGGAGTTCTCTCACCATCTTTGGGGGGATAGGTTGAACTCTACAATTCCCACTCCTTCCAGGGCTGTCTCGCAGGCTTGTGGTGGTGGCTTGGCAGGCTTCTTGGTAGGGTCCGGGGTAGCTTTCTGGGTAGATTGGTTGGATTTGCACTCAGCTGCCCAGTACCCCTTTTTCTCACACTTGAAACAGGCAGTGGAACATCACTGAGGGCTCTGGGTGCATGCCTACGCTTTTGGGATTTCTTTCTTTTCCAGGAAGGATTTCTGCCACCCCTTCCCTGGGCAATGCTTGTTTCAAGCTAGATCGATTTCTATCTCTTCCCCCAGCATGCACCAGCCATGAAGGGTACAGGGGCCCTCCTAGAGATGCAGGTGTTATACTATATGTAGACTTTGTTGCTTAGCCTGTCTTTGAAAAGCCAATGAGGATGTCTTGTGGCCAGTCAGTGAGCCTGCAAGCCAGGTCACAGAACTCTTGACTGTACTCAACCACATTTCTCCGTCCTTGGCTGATGGTCTTGCGGTCAGCCAGTGGGTCTTTGAATCATTTGTGGAGTGTCACCATGAACCGATTTAAGTTCCTCAGCTTTCAGCTGTCATTATGGAGGGTGACCATCCACTGCTGCAACTCTTTCTAGGGCCATGGTGACGCATCTCATCTTGCTGCCTTCTGTAGCTTTTTTGGGACCAAATTCCTGCATGTAGATCCAAACCTGGGCTAAAAAGAATCCCAGCTGCTGGGGATCTCCATCAAACGTCATGCCCAGTGGAAGGGTCTTGCGGTTCCTCCTTCTTACTAATATCAGCCCCACAGGGGGGCTGTGCTGATTTGCCCCCCCTAGGTTTGGGGGTAATGGAGGTCACCGCTGCTGCTGACCCAGCTCTGTGCTGCCCACTACAGTGGATGCTGTCACCCTGTCAGTCACTGTGTCTGGAAGTAGCTGGTCATTGGGTTGTGCACCTTGGGCAAGGGTTTTGCGTGCCTTGTGGTTCTCAAAAGCTCCCCACATAAACCTTATGACTTGCTTCATCACACAGTCAGCCTGGCCATGCTCTCCACTCATCTCCTCTTCCTCCTCCAGCTCCATTTACTGTTCCCATTGGTGGCTGCCACAGCTCCATTTGCTGTTCTCATCGGTGGCTGCACAGCTTCCACAAGTAAAGGTCATCCCCATAGCTGTCTTTTCTCAATCCTACTTCCTCCTGACACCTGGGTCTGAGCAGATTACTGCAGTTTTGCAGTTTTGCAGTTCCTCCCGGTTCCGCCCGGTTCCGCCGAGCCAGTAGTGGTGACGGTATGACATCACCGAACCAGTTCTGCCAATCTGCCCCCATCTTATCCCTTAGGGAAGAAAAACTTTTGACTCCGTTTAACTGAACTGAAAGATGCTTTTACTAAGAGATGCTGGTTGCAGTAAAGTGAGATGGAATCTAAAAGTTCCCATGCAACAATACAGAACTATTCCTCTGGTATCCCATCCCTCCCACCATGACCAGTCTGTCTTTAGCCAATCTGACATTGCAGAAATGTTTTGGGAAATACTGAGGTGTTTAGACTGAAATTCCACATTCAGGGAAAATGATCTTTAAGATGCCTGACACAAACCGAATATGCTCTCCTCTTCTTCAACTGCTATCCCCCCTCCTGAATTCCCACTACAGAACCATACAATTTTATTGCCCATTTGTTCCTCCCTCCCTTTGGTGCTTTGATGGCAAGATGCCAGCGAAGTGCCAAGCCTAACATAGTGGATCTGACAGGTAGTTTGATCTTGACAAATAGACTGAACTGACTTAAAACTTTTGTTTGAATTCAGTTTCTTTTAAAGATATTCTTCTTATATATGAAATATTAAAATCTTTGCTTTTATGCTGGAAATAATACTATAACATAGTCATACAGACCACCTTCATTCCTCTGTCATTAATTTAATCAATGTACATCATCTTCAAATAGTAACATTCAACATAAAATATGTAATGTAATACTGTATGTATGTAATATTTTATGTGGATTTTTTAAACCTAAAGTGACATTGGTGGTTAGTTAGATTTTTATACATACATATATGTACACTGATTTTATCTGACAATGTAAATGAACATGGTATTAATGATGTTGTATAAATGCATCATTTATATTTCAGTATGTTTTGTTTTTCAGTAAGCTGGTATTTGGTATATATTGTAAAAAGTGTTGCAAAAAACTTTTTTGTCAAATGATTCTATAGTTACACTGTGTTTTCCCAAAAATAAGACCCTGTCTTATATTTTTCTGAACCCAGAAATAAGTGCTTGGCCTTATTTTCGGGGAGTTCTTATTATTTTAGGGCATGTCGAGGAAACCAGAGGAAATGGCGGGGACCGGCTGCGCATGCATTTAAATATTTTTTTTTGGGGGGGTGTTATTTTAGCGCATGCGCTCAAAAGCCCAATTGGGCTTATTATCAGGGGATGTCTTATTTTTGGGGAAACAGGGTAGTTTATAAATAAAATTTGCTATTTCATTTATTTAAAATATCATCTAGTATTTGCTCTAAAGAGGTATTTTACTGAAAGATATTGAAAGTTATTAGATCATTTTTTCTGGTTTCATTAAAAAGTTTCTTAACATTCACTGAATGCACACCCTTTTGTTTTTCCTGTTCATTGGTAGAGCCTTCCATTCACTTAACATAAACTGCTGTCTTCCAGATGTTGATCCAAGGAATGGCCACATCAAGAACAGGAAGCATAACAGGAAATTATCTCAAAGAAGCAGTACTTCCTGTTGTGTGGTGCTGATTCAAACTAGAATGACCTGCAAAGCCATGGGTCTGGAAGTTCTTAAATCACCTTGAAATATTCCAAGGAATGGAGAAAATAATTTTAATCTTTCCAAGTGAAGAGGATCATAAAGATAATGTGTAAACTGATTGGAAAATTGGAAAGTTATTTATTCCTTTTATGACATGTTACACATGATTATAATAAGCAGGTATTAATTTTCATTAAATGTAATATTTTGGAGGTGAAATTTCTGTTATAAATTTGCCATGGAAGCAATTAATCATCCTCTAGGACTAGAGATCTGCTTAAATGTTATTTTATAGATATATTTAGTAGTTGTATTGCTTTTAATAAACATGTTATCAGAGAACTCAGCAGTAGAAGGATGAACTAGATTGTCAGGTGTACTCAGTACTCAAGAAAGAAAACCCCCAACTCCATTTTCATAGAGAAAATTAGGGTTTTGGTTATGAAGAAGTCACAGGGGGGGATGGGTGGGGAGGGGGGGTTAGGGAGGGGGAGGGGGAGAAAAAAGGGGGAAAAATTTGTATTTGAAAACTTTTTCAATAAAAAAAAAAAGAAAGAAAGAAAGAAAACCCCCGACTCCATTTTCATAGAGAAAAGTACTTTTACTGAGTATGAACTGAATGCAACCAAAGAAAAGCAAGGTCTGAGGCAATAGGTGTGAAAATCACATATAGAAAGCATCCTTAAAACCCCCCAGTCAGGATTATCCAATCCACATCCCCCCCCAGGGGTCATGTGGGGTGCAGCTTCCGATAGTGCCATCCTCCTGGTATGCCACTACAGTTGACCTTGAGTGGTTATCAGCATTCTTCCCAGGTGCATAGAAAACGCTGAGGAAAACTTTACCCCCTCTTCTCCACCAGCTCACTTCCCCTCTCCCAGACATTCAAACAGCTCCCCCCCTCCCCCCAGTTACAATGGCAGCCGAGCAATCAAGCAATCAAGCAATAAGAAGGCAGAGGCTGCCTTAAATTTAAACCAATGTATTATCATTAATCTGTTAATTCTAATGACACAGGGAAGGAGGAGGAGGAGATTTTGCTATTCCTTTAAACTATTTGAATAAATCTAAATTACAAGGAGGGGATGTGATGGCTCAGCAGTTAAACACGCTGAGCTTTTCAGATGGAAAACTGACCGCCCGGTTCGAGGCCTGAGTGCTACATAACCTAGCTCCTGATAACCTAGCAATTTGAAAGCATGCAAATACTAGTAGATTAGTGGGAAGGTAATGACATTCTGACCAGCATAAAGTCATCCTGGCCAGATGACTACAGAAAATGTCTTCGGACAAAGCTGGCTCCCTTGGCCAAAAAAAAAAACGGAAATGAGCATTGAACCTTAAAATTAGACATGACTGGACAGAGAAATATTTATCTTTACCAAATTACAAGGAAAACATTTCATATATTATTTCTGGTATTTCTATTTTGTTAAAATATCACATAACATTTGTTGTTGTTATTGTTATTATTATCTCTTTTATTCATTTATTTTATTTATTTTATTTTATTTTTGAATTTGTATACCGCCCTTCTCCCTGAGGACTCAGGGCGGTGAACAGCCAAATAAAAACATCAAATACAAATATTAAAACACGTTTAAAAATATATATAGATTTGGCCCCATTAATTAAAACAATAAACAAAACAAAACAATTAAAAAACCCTTAAAAAGAAATTAAGCCAGCCCGGCTTGTTGAAAAAAGAAAGTTTTAAACATGAAACTCAATCAACTGAACATTTTAAAATGTGTCACAAATACCATTGACTGGTGCTAATGGTTGATACGGGTTGCTGCCAGCGTCCTAGGTATCAACCAAGTTATCTTCTTAAAATATACGATGTTCCGAGTAGCGCAGTTTTTTGCAATTTGGCTGGCGTTATTGCAGGAAGCTGCAATTTCTTGATGTGTTTTGTAAAATTCTTGGACATGGTACCAAGTGCCCCGATGACATTGGGTATCACTGTGACATGTTTCATCCATAACTGTGTAGTTTCGATGGCCAGATTGTGATATTTCGTGATTTTTTCCAGTTCTTTTTCTTCGACTCTGGTGTCTCCTGGTACAGCGATGTCAATAAACTGTATGCTTTGGCCCTCAACAACTGTGATATTGGGTGTGTTATGTTCCAAATGATGATCCATCTGTATTCGAAAGTCCCACAAGATCTTCACTATCTCATTTTTGATAACTTTTACCACTTTGTGCTCCCATGATTTTTCGGATATAGGTATGTCATATTTTTTACGTAATGACCAGTGGACTTGTTTAGCAATTCAATCATGTTTAGCTTTGTAATCAGTTTGTGCGATTTTGCTGCACTAACATATTAAGTGTGAAACAGTTTCATTGAAAGTCGGCAGTTTGGATTGTCAGTGGTTTTTTGTATCTTCGCTTTCATGGCATTAGTTTGTAGTGCTTGTTCTTGAGTATCGAGTATTAAACCTCCCGTTTCTTTCTTAATGGTTCCTCTCTTAAGCCATGCCCATGTCAAGTTGTTATCACATTTTCCTTCAATGTTTTTCAAGTGCTGTCCATGCAAAGCTTTGGTTTTCCATCCATTTAATCTGTCATCCAGCTGTTTTCCTTATATTCTGCTTTTGTTTCTGTTGTTTTTATAATGTTCTCCATTTTCACAGCCTGCAGCAATTTTTCTGTACTTTGGTTCACATAATCATTCAAACTTTGTTTTTCTTCTTCTACAGTTTGATGGATTTGCAATAGCCCTCTGCCCCCTATTTTTCTTGGCAGGTACAACCTGTCGATGTCACTTCGTGGATGTAAAGCATGGTACATATTCAAAAGTTTACGCGTTTTACAGTTCAGGTTTTCCAGTTCAGCCACGGTCCAGTTCACTGGAACTGCCCATGTGTTAATGGCTTTATTTATTGTTTATTGGTTTGATTTATATGCCGCCCTTCTCCGGAGACTCAGGGCAGCTTACAATGCGTTAAGCAATAGCCTTCATACTTTTGTATATACCTGCTTAGTAGGGCTTTTGCCCCCCCCCCCGAAGCGGTGCTTTTTTATACAAAGTCAGCTTATTGCCCCCACAATCCGGGTCCTCATTTTACCTACCTCGAAAGATGGAAGGCTGAGTCAACCTTGAGCCTTGTGAGATTTGAACTTGCAGTAATTGCTGGCAGCTGGTGTTACTTAACAGCACTTTAGTCTGCTGCGCCATCAAGGCTCTTTTCTTTAATTATTTTTCCAGTATTCAGTTTTGATTTTAATATTTTGGGGACCCTCCTGATGTATTCCTTTTGCGTTGACTCTTTGACTTTTCCATTTAAGATGTTATCTGTTTCCAATATGCCTATGTATTTGTAACCATCATCCTTTGCTAATGCTTTCATGATGCTTTCATTTCTCAGTTCTTATTATTATAATTATTCTTATTATTCTTGTTATTATTATTATTGATTTAATCTTCAATTCAATTCACAGTCTGGTACTGGTAAAGACTTAACAGTTCAAGTCCTAACCAAGAACCTAAGAGCTCTTAAGGTAACGTCTGAGTATATAGGCAGTTCTGAGTAAGGTGAGTTTTTGCAAAGTCAGAATATTCAGGTCTGATAACTTCAAAATTTCTATCTATCTAGGCAGCCCTTTGGGTATTGTTCCAAGGGCTCCTATTACTATTGGTACAACCATTGATTTTTTGTCCACAATCTCTCAATGTCAATCTGCAGATCATGATATTTTGTTATTTTTTCCAGCTGTTTCTCTTCAATTCGTGAATCACCTGGTATTGCAATCTCAATGAGCCAGACTTTTTTCTTTTTCACAATAGAGATGTCAGGCATGTTATGGGCAAGATGTCTATCCATTTGGATGCGAAAGTCTTGACCTATTCATTTTCAAGAACTTTTGTCAGTTTGGTGTTCCCAGTAATTTTTGCTGCATTCAAACCCAAGCTTCTGACAAAGTTTTGACAATGTATGATTTTGGCAACTTGATCATGACATTATTATTGTTATTATTATTATTATTGTTATTTCCAATTTATTGTTGATTCCTACTACTATTAATAGTACACTAACTTGCAAAACATTCCAAAGATGGTCTAAACTAACATTTTTCAGTTTGCTACTTCCATATATATTAAAGTTATCTTATTCCCTTATAACAGGAGGTGTAAAACACATGTCATCATGGCATCGTCATGTGACGTATTGCAACTTCCCCCCTTCACTAAACCTGGTGTGGGCGTGGCCAGTGCATGACACATCTGGCCCATGGGCCATGAGTTTGACACCCCTGCCCTATAACATTGCCTTGGAATGCTGAGTAGGCTTTATGGGAGTTATAATCTGATATATATGCAAGTTTGTAAAGGCAGCTTTGCAAGCGTATTTGCAGAGTTTGGCATCAAAGGCTAAGTTGGTGGCAAGGACTAGACAATCAAAGCTCCATCCTTGTTTTACATATGTAGCATGTGCTAATTTGTAAAAAGCAGATTCAAATATTAAAAGGCTGTGTGACTACAACAGAATGGAGCAGATTGGAGTGAGAGAATGGAGCAGAGATTCACAGAGCAATATGTAATATGTAATCCTCACTTAATGACCACTTACCACAAAAGGTATTTATGACCCAGTTCTGGAATCTGACAGGGGCACACACACCCTCACATAATCATATTTTGGCCACTTGGAAACTTGCCTTTATAGCCAGTTGCAGCATTTCCTGGTCACATGATGCAATTCAGGTTTTTTTGGTTTTTTTGGCCAGAAACTCCCATAAGAATGTATTGATTCATTTAACAACCATGGCATTTGCTTTAAGATTGCAGCGTTTGCTTAATGACCACTGTAAAGAAGTTCATAAAATTGGGTTGGTTATGTGTGTTCCTTGAGTTATGACCATCATGACTTGTTTGAAATTCTGAGCTCTCTTACGGTTGTAAGTCAAGGATTACCTGTATTTATGAGTAAGCTTTTTTTGTTCATTGGAATCTTTTACCTAATTGTCCTTCATTCTTTGCAAAGTGTAAGAAACTTACTTTCAGACCTGAGTACCACTGTGCTACTTAAAAGCTGATGTTGTAATCTGAGTATTGCTATGTGAGCCAGAGTCAGGATTTGCATTACAGTAGAAGTGGGTAGAGAGTCAGACTGAAAGAGTGCATGCCAATTGGAACAAAAACCTTACATATCAATTTAAAAATGCAACACAGATTTCAAGGCTCTATTTTAACAATTGTTTTCTGGATAA